AAGAAAAAAATGGAAGAAATCAATAAATCTTTCAAAGAAAAAAAATAAACAGGTGAAGCAAACAGTTCAAGTCTAGAAAACTGAAATAGAGGCAATAAAGAAAACACAAACTCAGGAAATTCTGGATATGGAAAATCTGTGTACATAAATGGGAACTACAGAGGCAAGCATAAAGAACAGAATATAAGAGATGGAAGAGAGAATCACAGGTATTGAAGATACTATGTAGGAAACAATTCATACATCAGAAAAACATTAATCCAACATATTCTTGACACAAAACATCCAGGAAATATGGAACACCATGAAAGACCAAACCTTAGGGATAGAAGAAGGAGAAGAACTCCAGCTTAAAGGCACAGAAAATATACTCAACAAAATCATAGCTGGGCAGTGGTGGCGCACGCCTTTAATCCCAGCACTCGGGAGGCAGAGGCAGGCGGATTTCTGAGAGTTTGAGGCCAGCCTGGTCTACAAGAGCTAGTTCCAAAACAGGAACCAAAAGCTACAGAGAAACCCTGTCTCAAAAATCCAAAAAGAAAAAAAAAATCATAGAAGAAAGATTTTCCAACCTAAAGAAGGATATCCCTGTGAAGGTATAAAAAGTTTACAGAACACCAAATAGACTGGAGGAAAAAAAAAAAGTCACCTCATCATATAACAATCAAAACATAACATAAAACATGCAAAATAAATAAAATACTAAGAACTGCAAAGGAGAAAAGTCAAGTAACAATTAAAACAGACCTATCAGAATTATATCCAACTTCTCTATGAAAACCATGAAAGTGAGAGGATCCTGGAGAGACGTACTGCAGACAATAAGAGATCACAGATGCAAGCCCAGACAACTATACCCAACAAAGTTTTCAATTATGTTCTAGAGGATGTGAAGTAAGGGGAACACTCATCCATTGCTGGTGGGAATGCAAAGTGGTACAACCACTCTGGAAATCAATATGGCAGTTTTTCAGAAAATTGGAAATCAACCTATCTCAGGACCCAGCAATACCACTCTTGGGCATATACTCAAAAGATGCTCAATTGTACCACGAGGACATTTGTGCAACTATGCTCATAGAAGCATTATTTCCAATGGCCAGAACATGTAAACAACGTAGATGCCCCTCAACCAAAGAATGGATAAAGAAAATGTGGTAATTTACACAGTAGAGTATAATTCAGCTGTAATAAACAATGACATCTTGAAATTTGAATGCACATGGATGGAACTAGAAAAAACCATCCTGAGTAAGGAAACCCAGACCCAGAAAGATGAACATGGTATGTACTCACACATAAGTGGATCCTAGCTGTAAAGCAAAGGATAATGAGCTTATACCCCATGACCCTAGAGATGCTAAGTAACACAGTAAACCTGAAGAAAAACATTATATATATAATATATAATATATATATAACATTATATATAATATATAATATATATATAATATATATGTATTATATATGTATATATAATACATTATATATATATACATATATATATGTATATACAGGACTGCCTGAAAAAATTGAAAGCATGGGTGTGGGGGGACAAGGGAAGACAGAAGGGGTAGGGGTAAAAGATCTTGAGGGAACGGGATAGTTGAGATGGAGGAAAGACAGAGAGAAGAGCAAGGAAAGAGATATTTTAATTGAGGGATGCCGTGCACCCCCCTCCCCGCCCCCCGTGTCTGTGCTCTGTGCACTAGAATCCAGTTTGCGAGCTTCCAGCAAGGGGCTGGAGGTTGAGAATACAGACACAGAGACAGAACGACACGCAGACCTCTAAACACTGATGCCAAAGCCCCCCAAATGCTCCCTTTATTGTGTTCAAGGGCAGATTATATAGAGATAGCCACGCCCCAGCCAAACCCACCAGAAACCACTCTCCTGCCATCAGGAACTCCAGAAGGTCTCCTGCTCAGAGCAGCTGTAGGCACTCAGATCAGTGGAAAACAAGTTGTTTACAAAAAATTCAGGATCTGGGGTCTCACTGCTCCCAACAGAGGGAGCCATTATGGGGTTAGCAAGAAACCTGACACTACAGAAATTCCCAGGAATCCACAAGGATGACCTCAGCTAAGACCCTAAGCAATAGAGGAGAGGGTGCTGGAACTTGCCTTGCAAGTGAATATCTTAAATGTCATCATAGAACCTTCACCCAGCAACTAATGGAAGCTGAGGCAGAGATCTACAGTGGAGCATTTGGCTGAGTTCCCAAAGTCCAGTCATAGAGTGAGTGGCAGTTGTAAGGCTGGGGCAGATTGCTTTATCATTATTATATATTATAATATACTATATATGTTATACTTATTGTATACTCTGTGCTGGTAGTATTTAATTTCTTGTTTAGATACAGGGTCTTGAAAGTGCCTCAGGATGCCCTCTAATTTATCAAATCCCTGCCTCCGGGTTATACGTTCTGCTATACATCAGCATGCACGTAGTCTTGTCTTCAGAAATTCAGGGAAAAGCGAAGCAACTGAAACAATACTTGACTAAATAATGGCAGAAATCATCACTAACTTGGTAAGACATAAACTGACAGTTATAGTACCTTGCAACTATAAATCTAAAGAGGTAAATGCCAAAGCTTATTATCACCAACCTCCTGAAAGCTAATTATAAAGAAAGAAGTCCTAAAAACAATAAACAAATAACATCTTACAGGATAAAAATACCACAAATTGGAATAAAAGATTATATAAATTGTAGTAAGAAAGTAACATCACATTCCACATAAAACTGTCACCTCAGAATTCTACAGGAAAAATATACACAAATATAGGCATTCTCAAATGAGGGGAACTAAGAGTGTGTTGTTAGCTGACCCAGCCCAAAAACTTAAGAAAGTTATTTAAATATAATAATATAATATTTCAAAAAGAGACTTGAAAAATCAGAAATGAAGAAAAATCAATGGGAAAATAAAAACTGTCCATAAAAATAATAGTTTCTTTGTCCTCTGAATTTCTTATGTTTGATATTTGAAATAAAAATTACAATATTATCTGATGTGCCTCTAATACTTACATGGAGAATATTTTTAAGTGCAGAATGAAAAGGATGTAATTTTCTATCTACTCAGCAGGTAGAAAGGATGACCTAAATAGATTGTGATGATTTGTCAGTTTGTAATATAGTATCTGTGTAACAAAGATAATGTATAAAGGGATAGACTCAAAATCACATACTTTAAAAACAGCACTGAAGTAAAACATCAATGGGCAGGGAATCTAAAAATGGAAAAAAATCTGAATGAATGGGGATACCACCAATGAAACACAAATTAAGCTTAAGCTTTTAGCATTAAGTAACCACACTGAACACAAATAGTTAAGATATACCAAACAGAAGAGAGATTGGCAGACGGACTGATAACTAAAGCAAGACCCAGTACAACCTTTTGTGATTTCATCTTTGATGAATCAAAACTGGAACAAGGTAAATCAGTTAAATGTTAATCCAGTAAAGGGGAGCTATGACTATAGCAATATGTGATTTAAAAAATGGTCTTCTGAGAAAAGAAAACCCTAAACTAAGAAGTACCATGTATAACTGTCAATAAATTGATTAGTTACTATAATCAAACCTAGTTATCCTTGATGGGAATGAACCAAAGAATCCAGCAGTAAATTTTGTGAAATTAAAACCGATAAATCTGAAAAGAGAAATAGAAAAATATACAACACTAGTGAAAGACCTCAACATTCTCTTTTTAAAAATCATAAGTAGAAAAAAATCAGTGGGCATAATTTAATACCATTCAAAATCTCTTGGCAAATATTCATGGCATTCTCTATTTAATATGACTGAATGCACATTATCTTCCAGTCTCTACATAGAAATACCAAGACAGGCCATATGATAAAAGAACAAGCTTGGTAACAGGAAATGCTTCGAGAAACCAAAAAGACTTGAAATCAAATAGAATAGAATTAATAACATCAAATACAATAAACTTGGAAATCATTTACAGAAATATAACAGGGAAATCTTCAAACATTTGGAAAACAAACAACACTCTTTGAATAGTTCATGGTTCAAAGAGAAAGTCTCAAGGGCAATATAACACTATCAAACTGAGTGAAAATGGAATACAATAAATCAATATTTATGGGATACAGCCAAAACATTGCTTTTGGGAAATTTTATTGTAGTAAATATATGCAAACAAAAGATGAGGTTTAAATGAACAATCAATGCTCTGTCAAGAAAAATGTGAAGAAAACAGCAAAATATAATGAAGAATGCAAAGTCTGTCTTGGAAAGCAGAAGACAGAACTCTTCCCAGTCCGTCTCACTGAGTCAGTCAGTATTACTCTGATTGTCCTGTTTGTGTAAACAAAAAATACAATCAGGATTAGAAAGAGGACAAAAGAATTAACCTGAGAACAAAAGTACAAAGGTAAGAGTTTCCTTTAGATTTCTCCAGAGAAGTGAAACACACACACACACACACACACACACACACACACACACACACACACACAGAGAGAGAGAGAGAGAGAGAGAGAGAGAGAGAGAGAGAGAGAGAGAGAATTTGCACATGTGATGAAATTAATTCAAATCCCTGTGGGGATCATGTTATGATAAGTTATCTGTAAACTAGATGGCTAGAAACAACAGTAGTACAAATCAAACCTACTTTGCAAATCAGAACCCTAAATATCACTGCCTGAGAATAGGAGAGAAGAGATGTCCAATCATAAAAAGGTGAGCGAATTATTTGTTTTGCTTTTTTTTTTCCTGTTTAAACTCACAACAGATTTATGTTCATGAACACTGGAGATGACTGTTTACTTTTCTTAGTTCAATAAGCTAAAGGTTAAGTTCTTCCAGAAATATTCTCACAAATATGTAAAATTTTCATCTGAGTATCATTTAACCTAAACAAATATACAATCACAGAAATAAATCAACTTATGAATATATATGTAAAACATTTAATAAAACACTAACAAATTAAAATTTAAATAGATAGAAAGATTTACATGGTGCCCACTTGGGCAACACATATACTAAAATTAGAACAATACATAGAAGTTCAGCATGGTCTTAGAAAAGGAAGAGACACAAATTCATGAGATATACCATATATTTTGTAAGTAGATGGAACTCTAAAAGATATTATTGAATGAGGTAGTCCCGACCCAGAAAGACAAATGTTGCATATTCTCTCATCGGAGGGTGTTAGTTCCAAATCTTCAGATGGGAGCATATATCGAGGGGTAATTTTAGAAGCCAGTTAAATAAAAAGGGACAATTACCAAGGTGTAGAGGTGTGGGAAAGGAACAGAAAAGAGAATAACAAAGCACAAGTGACCTTATGTTCCCATGGAAATAGGAAAGGTGAACTCTAAGCAGAGAGGAGAGAAGGATATAAATAGAGAAGAAAGGAAGTCAGAAATAGCACTAATGATGTTTGAAAAAATCATAAGGAATTATTCTACTAGCTACCACAAATAAAACACACACACACACACACACACACACACACCTCATTGCATCTGGACTGACTATGCTCCCTCCAAGAGTCAAAGATCATTTAACAAACCCCCGAACATCATCCATCCCAATATCATGCATGAGAAACCCTCTTGAGTTGTTGGTCAGGGTTGCTTAAGACATTCCCAAAATATTATGGTGTATTGCTGTTGTCTTTCATTGCCAACCTCCCCTACAGGAGAGTAAAGTAATTCCCTATTGCTGAAGACACTACACTCTTCAAATGCAGAACCTAGAGGCCCCTTCAGCTGGAACTGACCTGAATGCTGTTTCCTGTGTCAGTTAAGCTTCTAAACTAAGTAAGCAAAAGTCTTACCCAGCTATGACACCTATGAACCACAAGTACAACCATCATGCTACAATAACCCTAAGGGTTCAGTAGTGATACATGTTGTTTTATCTTCGGCACAGCGTCTGTGCCTTAGTCTACTGCTATTTCAACCAGCAATAGTGACTTCATAGTTACCAGCCTGCTTCTCTGAAAATGGCCTGACTGCTCAGGCCACAGCCTGGAGAGAATCCTTTTCCCACAGGCATCTGCTCTGTCTCTGCTACTAAAGGTAGTTTTTAACTAAATCTCTTTTATTCTATTTATTTATCTATCTGGAGTCTGATTAACAGGCTAGGGTGGAAAAAACCTATGAAGTCAGAGAAGCAGAGTAGCAACTAGCTAACCTTCTCTCTTTGCTGGCATTTCCCACCAAAACAGGTCCTTCTCTTCTGCCAAAAACAAAACAAAACAAAACAAAAAACAAAACACTCAAAATGACTCCCTACTACTTCTGATACATCTCTCTAACTCTTCTAGATGCCCTATGATGCTCTATTGTTTCTTTCTGTCAACTGGTTGCTAACTTAGCCTCCTAACCTAAGGTATTTATTTAATTAACGCTGATGCTAACTTGGGGTTCATAGTGTGATCAGATATCTCCCAAGGGGTACACATACTTTGGCAGTAATGAAAAGCTCTCTAATTATACTTAAGACACACTCAACAAAACAGACATTATGTTTAGTACTAGAAACAAAGCCAAATACCCAGGACTACTGAAGTCATGGATCTTTGTGGAGAACCTACAACCAATACTTTGCTACACCTGTACAACCCATAAATTGCACTGCAAGTATTTTGCTTATACCTACAGGTAAGTGTAGTGCTCATGCCTCATCAAGAAAACCTCTCTCACAGTAGACGGAAACCAATCAAAGTTTAGTGTTGTAGAGCCAAATTTCAATGGATATGTCTACAAAGCAAATTCTTTCACCGAAATGGGAAACATTGTAGAAGAAGGGTTAGAAAGATTTTAATAGCCAGAAAATTAGGGATTTTACTATGAGATTGTGTTTCCTAGTAATATCAGAATCTGCACCCATAAAGTCTCACCAACATGACAACCAAAACATGCAATCAGGGCATATAGCACTAAGCCAAGCCAAAGCAGACAGGGACTTTTGTCTTGTAGGCCTCTACATTACACAAAGAACTTTAGGAAACTAGGGAAGTTGGGAGCAGGAGAAATGTTTCTACCCAGTAAAGGAAGCACCAATTGGTTGTTTGGTGCTAAGGGGTCAGCCTTGAAAACATATATACAAGTAAAATTATATGAACTGAACTGCTGGGGAATAATCCTTTTGTACACCGTGAAGGTTTGTTGCTGTGATTGGTTAATAAAGAAGCTGACTGGCCAATAGCTGAACACGATATAGTTAGGTGGAAGAGTCAAATTGAAAATAATGGGAGGAAGAATCGTGGAGTCAGGGGAGTAGGCAGCAGCTGCAGGAAGAAGTAGGATGGACATGCTGTGCTGAGAGAAGGTATCAAGCCATGTGACAAAGCACAGATAAGAAGTATCAGTTAATTTAAAATTTAAGAGTTAGCTAGTAAGAAGCCTGAGCTTTTGACCGGGCACTTGTAATCAATATAAACCTCAGTGTGTTTATTTGAAAGCAGTTGTAGTTACAGAAAAGAAAAACTCTACATACACTGAACAGGCTGTGTGTGTGTGTGTGTGTGTGTGTGTGTGTGTGAATACAGATACATGTGTGTGCTCGCAGAAATAATTAGTGAAAAAAAGAAACCATGGCTTTGATAGAGAGTGGGGGGGTGCATATAGGAGACTTTGAAATGAAGAAAAAGAAGAAAGACAGGTTGTAATTATATTATGATTTTCTCAAGGACAACAACAACAAAGAATAAAATGAGGGAAATAGGCATTTCAAATGATGAAATAAAAACTAAACTATTAATAATACCAAATATTGGAGAGTGTGTAGAGAATAATAAATCACAAATATACTGCTGGTGAGAATATAAATTAGCAAAGACATTTTAAAATATTTTGGCAGTTTGTTAAAATCTAAGCACAATCATGATACACAGTCCAGAAATTGAACTTTGAACATTTACCTAAGAATAATGGAAACATGTTTCCACTGAAATTGAACATTTATACATGTTAACTTTATTTGTATAACCTCCTAACTATGAATAGCCCAAATACCTTTCATCAGATGAATGAACTGCTACAGGTTAGCTGTGGGATGTGATTCAATAATAAACCAGAGTACATGATAGATGAACACAAAGAAAGGCACAATCCTCTATGCAAGTGGGGATGGAAGCCAGTACTTTTTGCATGCTAGGTAGGTGTTTGAACACTGAATAGTAGCCTCAACTCCTAACAATTATTTATAATGGCAAAAGGTTAGTTATTAGATTCTCCAAATAAAAAAATTTAGAAGTAGAAACTGTCATGCAACTGGGAAGATACTATGTTCATGGTGATGTTCTCCCCTAGACTGCACCAATGTGACTATAGTACAGATCTTGAATGTGTCTGCACAGAGTGAAGGGAGTGATTGATACACAGGTTTTTCTAGTCTTTGGTACATACAATTCAACATGGATTTACAATAACTTCACAAAGAAATTTGCAAAGAGCTAGAACATTGGAGACACATGAGATGGAATAAATTGTTTCATGTCATTTTGGTCAATTTTGAATTGGCAACTTCATGTGATATATTGAGGCAATGTACAGGATGTATGGGACCTGTTGTAAAATTCTTGAACGTAGAGCAAGAAGCATGGCTCAGTGTTTACCTAGCAGGCTTAGCATGTGTCAAACTCTGGGATCAAGCCCCCAAACCAACAAATAAATAAATAAACATAAATATAAATAAATGCTTGTAAAATTCTTGAAAGCAATAAACTCACTAAATATAGACAAAAATTAAAGAGCAGTAGGATCAAAACCCAATGCCATTGTTCTTGACTTCTCAGTAGTCCTCATTGTCCGCTATGTTCAGCGAGTCCGGTTTTGTCCCATGTTTTTTCAGACCCAGTCCAGCTGGCCTTGGTGAGTTCCTGATAGAACATCCCCATTGTCTGAGTGTGTGGGTGCACCCCTTGCGGTCCTTAGCACGTACTGGCTTTGTGGGAGCCTAGGTTGTTTGGATGCTCACCTTACTAGACCTGGAAAGGGTGGGTGGTCCTTGGACTTCCCACAGGGCAGGGAACCCTGACTGCTCTTTGGGCTGATGAGGGAGGAAGAGTTAATTGGGGGAGGGGGAGGGAAATGGGAGGCTGTGTCGGGGAGGAGGCCGAAATCTTTAATAAATAAATTAATTAATTAATTTAAAAAATTAAAGAGCAATATACATACCTAAACAGTTATTTTTATGATAATTTTAGCATGTTTAGTCACATAACTAAAACCAGTATCCTTCATGGTATCGTTTTAGTTATATAATAACCAAATGTCTATGAAATAAATTCTCTTACACATGGATACTGGAAATAAACATGAGTGTGATATACATGTATATATAGCAATATTATCCATATTAAATATGAGTTTATAAATATGAAGATGTTGGTAATGATAAAATCATGTTCTTAATATGGTTAACACTTTAAATTTGATATTCCCTGTTATCATTGTTTTAAAGAGAAAATATTAATAACATCAATGTTTATATGGCAATGCTTTTAAAAGGTTGTATGCATGGTTCATTCATATTCATACATATCATGGTTCATACATAGTCTCTAGGCTAAATATACACCTGACTTATTATACAAATTGTGGCTATTGAAATAAAATTCACTTGCTCAGGGTATCCTGGCTTTTGGATGAAAGTACAAAGGGAGCTAGACTCATACTAATGTCTCTATTAAAATAGGAGAGGTAGAAGCTTCTTGGTGGAGTATACAGGGTCACTTATGTATAAAATCACATTATCTGCAAATAAAGATATTTTGTCTTCTTCCTTTCCTATTGGTATCCAGTCGTATCCTTTGGATATCTTATTGCTGTGTCTAAGATTTCAACCATTACAATGAATAGGTATAAGAAAGAATGAATGGACATTCTTGTCTTCTTCCTGATTATAGTGAAAATGTTTTGTTTTTTTTTCTCTCCATTGACATTGATGTTGGCTATTGGCTTGTTGTGATTCTTTATTATGTTGAGGTATGTTCCTTTTATCCCTAGTTCTCAAAGGAATTTTATCATGAAAGAATGTTGGACTTTGTTAAAGGCCATTTCTGCATTTAATGAGATGATCTTGCGGTTTTGTCTTTCAGTCTGTTT